TACACAAACATTTCTTTGAACTATTTTCCAAACAACACTTTGTATGCGTTCTTATAGAAACGAGAATCATTACAAAGACATGTTTTCAAAATACTTTCAAAACCACACCACAAATCACACTTTCAAACAAAAGCAAGTGATATAACAAACAACTAAGAGCCCATAGATAACTATGGATGAAAAGGGTGATAACACCTTCCCTTTTCATAATCTACCCCCCGAACTCAAGAAATAATCTCGAAAGGTCTTTCCTGTTCTTTTCAGCCTTTCCTTATTGGATAAAAGAAAAGTCGGTGGCGACTCTTGCTATCCGCAACAATTGCAATAAAATACAAAATATCTCAAGTCAGTTCTCCCACCGCGTTACAGAACCCCATGAAATTTCACAATCACACGAATGTAAATCTCTGCCAACTTCTACAAAGGAAAACTGATATTAATCGGAATAAAGTGAGCTAATTTTGTCAGCCTATCCACAATCACCCAAATCCCATCATGCCCTCTTGGAGTATTCGAAAACCCATTTACAAAATCCATTGAAATTTTATCCCATTTCCACTCTGGAATATCCAACGATTGCATCAACCCTGCATATTTCTGATGCTCAACCTTCAACTTCTAACAAGTCAAACAAGCATACAAAAATTGTGCCACGTCGCGCTTCAATCCATACCACTATATCATCTTATTTAAATCCTGATACATCTTAGTAGCTCCTGGATGGATACTCAAGCTACTTCGATGACTTTCCTCTAAGATCATCTTCTTCATTTCCGAATCATCAGAAATATAAATTATATCACGATATCTCAGCACACCTTGCTCATCCATTTTAAAATCACTATTCTCAGTCTGATTACTCCCAACCATAGAGCTCACCATTTTCACATCCAACTTATGACTCTCTTAATATTAATAAAAAAATAATTGTTGATCTTCAACATACCCAACATTACACTCTACAGTGTCAGCTCACAGACCAAACTCAAGTCTCTGAACTGCTCAATCAATTCCAATTCTCTAACCATCAACGCATACATATGCAAAACTTCTGACTTAAAGAATCTGCCACAACATTAGCTTCACCAGGATGATAATTCAATCCAAAATCATAATCTTTCAAGAATTTTAACCATATACGCTGCCTCATATTTAATTCCTTTTGGTCAAACAAATATTTCAAACTCTTATGATCACTAAACACCTCAAATCTGGAACCATAAAGATAATGCCTCCAAATCTTCAACACAAACACTACTAATATCAGCTCTAAATCATGAGTAGGATGGTTCTTCTCATGAATCCTCAATTATTATGAAGCATAAGCCACAACTTTACCATCTTGCATTAACACACCGCCTAAACCCATCATAGACGCATCACAATACACCACAAATGGTTCATTTGGTTCAGGAAAAATTAAAACTAGAGTTATAGTCAATCTCTTCTTCAGCTCAACGAAACTCTTCTCACAATGTATGTCCCATACAAAAGCTTTACCTTTACAAGTCAATTGAGTTAACGGAAGTGCTAACTTGGAAAAGCCTTCAATAAACATGCGGTAGTAACTAGCCAAGCCCAAAAATCTTCTAATCTCTATAACCAACTTCAAAGCCTCCCATTATAGAACCACATCTACTTTGGAAAGATCTACAGTAATACCAGCACCTGAAATCACATGGCCAAGAAAAACTAACCTCTTGTAACCAAAACTCACATTTTGACAACTCGGCATAAAGTTTATTCTCTTTCAACACCTGCAACATAACTCACAAATGCTCAACATGTTCTTCTTTTGACTTAGAATAAATTAGAATATCATCAATAAAGACCACTACAAACTGATCCAAGTAAGCATAAAAGATATGATTCATATACTCAATAAATACTCCAGGTGCATTAGAAACGCCAAATGGCATCACTAAATATTTATAGTGTCCATACATAGTCTTGAACGAAATCTTCTGAATATCCTCATCCTTCACTCGAATCTGATGGTAACCCAACCTCGAGTCAATTTTGCTAAACACGCGTGCACCCGCCAACTGATCCATCAAATCATCTATCCTTAAAAGTGGATACTTGTTCTTGATCGTTACTTTATTCAACTGTCGATAATCCACACACAACCTCATACTACCATCTTTCTTCTTCACTAGCAGCACCAGACCTCCCCAAGGCAACACACTTGGTCTCATAAAATTCTTTTCCAACAATTATCCTAACTGCTTTTTCAACTATGATAACTCCGACGCTGACATTTTATATGGTGTCATAAAAACAGGTTTGGTACCAGGATTAAGATCAACTGAAAACTCTACCTCTCTCTCTAGGGTACATCTAAAATATCTTCTGGAAACACATCTAGAAAATCATGCATTGTCTACAATTCATAAATCACTTCTTAGCTCTCCACAGATAATGACGCGAACAACGCAAGCAACTGAGCTTCCTCTTCCAAAAGCTCCTTCAACTCTCTAGCAGACAAAAAACTAGTTTCTTCCTCGTCATAAGGAGTAAGAAACCGCACCGACTTTCTATAACAATTGATATGAACATGATTGAACTCTAACCAGTTCATCCCCAAGATAACATCGAGATTCCTCGGCGGCAACCAAATAATATCAACACCAAAGTCTCTATCAAAAGTCAATAGAGGACATTTCAAACAAACCAAAGAAGTAGTAACTGACCCCCTAGCTGGAATATCGATGACCATCTCTCTGCTCATGGAGGACACTACAAGGCCAACCTTTTCATACAATCAGCAGCAAATCCATAGAAAATTTGAACTCTTGCTCTGGTGACAAGTTACTGATGTCATCTGGAAATACATCTTGGAAACCACTCACAACAGGTAAATTGACACTTGCAGCTCCATCATCGACGTGCAAGGATGCAACATTGCAAACATCAGGGTTTCATCTTCTAAGAGTTCTTCTACTTGCTTAGTAGATAAAAACACATTTTGTGCACTATCACCAAACTCAGATTGACACTCTGGAGGCTAGTCGCAAATATCTTCAGGAAAAATATCAGAGATTACACACCACTGACATATCACTAGTCGTCGCATTGCTCTCCATTCTCTAAGAAGTAACCATCAATAATACCTGATTGTTCTCCCTCAAACACATCCCAACTTGACTGGCAGACAAGAATCTTGAATTCGTACTCGCTTTGGGTTCGGGAAATAACACCACCTCAACAACACATGCACTCTTGCAATCAGCGGTACGTTGTACCAACTCTCCACGCCTGAAACATCTCAGAGAAGCGAAAGCTTATCCTCCACTTGTTTTAGTCTCACTCTTGCTGACAAGTGGTTAGAAAAATAAACAAGCACCAACAATGTTTCACACACATGTCACGTACTAAGGAACAAACAACATTAGAAAAATAAAACTTTTTAATTTAAGGACCTAAGTGTAAATTAATACCAAATTCATATTCCAAAATATTACAATTAATTTATGCACAATTCTTAAAAAAAGACTAATTATACCAATCTTAGGAGTGAGAATAGGTTGGGCCGAGTTAGGCTTTGTCAAACCTGAGTTTGACCTACTAAAAATATCATGCATAAGTCTGACATGTGGCCTATCATAGACTTATTTTTGGGTCTGAGTCTGACCTTTTCGAAGTTTGATTGGCCTGCTAGCCTACTTAAAAGCCTATTTTATTTGAACATATGTAAATAAGTCGTTCAATTAATGTTTATATAGATTAAAAAATAAAAGATCAATGCTAAAATTTGCTTGCATTGACTTATCTGAGCTTATCTAATAACATAAGTATTGTGAGACTATTTGTTTATGAAAACTTATTAAAATAACTTATGACATAGTTCATAAGGTATTTTCAACCTATTCAAATAAGTTCTTCAAGATAACTTAGTTTTATTTTTGTATTTTATTTCAAAGTACAAAGTAAAATATAAATATAATAATGAAATTATTCATATTTAATTAAATATATCAGTCTAATAGGTTTAAAAGGTTTCTTTATGATTTGAAGTCTAACTTTTTTTTAACTAAATAGGCTTATAAAAAAGTCTAGGCTTTTTCTATTTTAAAAAAGTTTGGTATGCCCTGAACCTATGTAACTTAGGTCATAGACTCCTGTTAATTAGTTTGACATATTCTCACTCCTAACTAATTTCAATGATAAAATTAATAGTATAATTTAACATTCTTCTTATTAATTATTAATTATAGTTAATAGATAATTAAGTAAATAAAAATTTAATAAAGAAATATATATTAATAGTAAAATTTAATAAATGTACATTAACATTTTTTAAAGTGACAATTATTTTGCGAAATAAGAGTTCAAAGGTAATGTAATGTCGGTGTCAAGTAATATTACAGAGAACATACAATCTAAATCTTTAAATTTATTAAGTCATATCAGTATTTTAAAATTAAAAATATGATCCATCATGAATTAACAATGTAAAAATATTTTACACCGGTGCATATTCCATTTTCTAAAAAATAATTTGATGTTCAATCTCAAAGAAAAGAAGTATAGTTACAATTACAAACTTTTAAGTTTATATGAATCAGCCTATTTAAAAACCCTCAAATATCTTAGGAACTACTTAGTAATTAAACCAAAAAACATCATTGTTCGACATGAAATCATCATGTAAAGGTTTCAATTATGTGTCTCATGTGTGGTGTATTACAAAAACAAAACAAAAAAATCCCCACAATTTTCGAGTTTCTGTTAAGTGACCAAGTCAGATTCACAAACTCTCCAACATTTCTTATCCACTCTCCAAATATAGCTAAGTGTGAGTGAGAAAGAAAATCAGTGGAACCTTGTACCGAAGTTTTCTCCTGAATCACATAATTGAAACACCTTGTTCATAATGCTTCTGCACCAAGCAACACCACATGCACGTGTTCATAACTTGAAAGAAACCAAATATTGAGTTTAACAAAATATCTTTGTGAATTTTCAATCCATTTTTTTGGTTTTGTCAACCAAAAATCATGATGTTGACTAAGAGCAAATTAGGCCTTTTGGTAACCACTTTTGTTGCAGTGTTAACACTTTCAGAAGTTGTCCATTGTGCAGAAAAGGGTGTGACTTATGATGAAAGGTCACTCATCATCAATGGTCAAAGGATGCTTCTTTTCTCTGGCTCGGTTCATTATCCGCGTAGTCCTCCTGAGGTACACATGCATTTTTGTCAACAACGTATTTGTATTTATGTTTGAATGAACAGCTTTATTAAGTGTGTATGCTATAAGCGCTTATCTATAAGTGTTTATTAACATTGTTGGTTATTAAAGTCTTAGATTTATCATTTGTTCCGTTTTATACATTGGTCTCTTTTGGTTAGATGTGGCCAGACATTTTGAAGAAAGCCAAACAAGGAGGGCTCAATGTGATTCAAACTTATGTTTTCTGGAACATTCATGAACCTGTGCAAGGCCAAGTAATGTCTGCATATATGTTTTAAGACCAAATTTAAGTATCACTATATAGTATATTGTAATAAACTATTGCCAACACATTAGTGTTTGTTATTATGTGCAGTTCAATTTTGAAGGAAATTATGATTTAGTAAAGTTTATAAAGATGATTGGGAGTCATGACCTGTATGTAACACTTAGAGTTGGACCATTCATTGAAGCAGAATGGAATTATGGGTAAGACATTGTTCTTTGTTGATTCAAATTTCTATCTAAATATTAGCGACGGTTGAGTCAATGTGGTGAATCGCGGTTACATGCATGGATCTTTGCTAAATCTTGTTTTATTGGTTACTTTTCAGAGGATTACCAGTATGGCTAAGAGAAGTTCCAAACATTACATTCAGATCAGATAGTCCACCTTTCATGGTGATTTTTCTACCTCGTGATCGATCACATATCAGTTTCACAATCTCTTTCTCGAAAAGCATTAGTGACATTTTAATGCTATTTGTATATATATGCAGAACCATATGCAAAATTTCACCACAATGATCATAAAGATGATGAAAGATGAGAAGCTTTTTTCATCTCAAGGAGGTCCAATTATTCTGTCACAGGTTAACAATTGAAGATTAAAAAGCAGTTTATGAAAAGTATGTGAAGTTCTTTTATATCCTTTTTGACTGCATTAGATTTACTTTTTCATCATTGTTCATTTGTCAGATTGAAAATGAATACACATCTGTTCAACAGGCATACAAAGAACACGGCACGCGGTATATTGAATGGGCAGGAAACATGGCTGTCGGGCTAAATACTGAAGTTCCATGGATCATGTGCAAGCAATTGAATGCACCAGAATCAGTGGTAGGTGGTTCATTCAATTTCTCGAGAAATTTTTTTCTTCTTTCTTTTTCTTGTCAATGAAAATTAAAGAAAGGGCACAATAACTATGCAGATAAATACTTGCAATGGAAGGTACTGTGGAGATACTTTTGCTGGCCCTAATGGTCCAAATAAACCTACTTTATGGACTGAGAATTGGACAGCGCAGTAAGTGTTCTACTCTTTTCATCACACCAAAATGGTACTATTAGGGCATGTTTGGATGTATAAATATGATTTCGGTTTGTCTGGTTACTTTGTAGTCGAATTGATATCGTCACCGGACCTCAATTAATTATACGTGATAAAAGAATAATGTTGAAACCGTGTTTGGTATACACTTACGACATTTCAGATACCGAACATTTGGAGACCCGCCATCTATAAGATCAGCTGAGGACATTACATTTGCCGTTGCTCGTTTCTTCTCAAAGAAAGGCACACTTACTAACTATTACATGGTAAAAAGCATGGATTTCCAAGCTTTAATGTTAAACTTTGTACAAAAAAACCAAATTACATCACTCTAATGACATGTTATATGTTTTGAAGTATTATGGTGGAACAAATTTTGGAAGAACAACATCTTCTTTTGTGACAACTCAGTACTTTGATGAAGCTCCTATTGATGAATATGGTTAGGCACGTTGGACTTGACCCTTTTTGAAAACTATAGTACACCAATTCAATTTTCTTGATGTCTAACCTTATACCGTTTTGTTTGTGATATTCTTAGGACTGCCAAGGGACCCGAAATATGGCCACCTTAGAGACTTGCATTCTGCTTTAAAACTTTGCCAGAAAGCTCTACTATGGGGAACTCCGTCGGTACAAGAGTTGGGTAAAGATTTAGAGGTAGCGCAATAATAGTTTCACTTGTATTTATACCGGTAAATAAGCTCGAATAAGTAAATCCAAACTAGGATAGTGTTCACTATTCATACACTACAATGTCTTTGTTTGCAGGGTAGAATTTATGAAGGGAAAGGAAGTGTTGCATGTGCTGCTTTCTTATCCAACAACGAAACCCGTTTTGCAGCAACTGTGGATTTCAGAGGGACTAAGTATATCCTTCCTCCACGTTCTATAAGCATACTTCCTGACTGCAAAACAGTTGTATACAATACAAGAATGGTAGTTTAGAAATTCTCAATCTAATCTTTTTTTTTCCCTGAGTTGCGTCAAAAACCAATGTTTAGTTAGTTAATTTCATTGCAATGTTTCTTCAAATAGATTGCTTCACAATTCAGTGCAAGAAACTACAAAGAATCAAAGTTTGCTAATAAACTTGAATGGACAATGGTTAAAGAGATTATTCCTATTCCTGATGCTTCTCAAATTAAAACAATGGAGCCTTCAGAGCACTTCAGCACAACCAAGGATAACAGTGACTATCTCTGGTTTATGACAAGGTAAACTGGCTCCTTAATCCTTACCATTACCATAGTATCAACATGTTTTCTTGTTAATGAGTCTGCTGGTGTTGTCTTTTCCTCAGTATAAAAGTGGATCAAGATGACTTACCCTTGAAGAAAACTATAAGTCCGGTTATCGAAGTAGCGTCTCTCGGTCATCTTTTGCATGCATTTGTCAATGGTGAATATATAGGTAATGTTCTCTCTGATCATAATATTTGCAACACAATATTTGTCAAAGGATAACATATAATTATAAAGTACTTCTAATTATGCATTTGATCATAATATTTGCAACACAATATTTGTCAAAGGATAACATATAATTATAAAGTACTTCTAATTATGCATTTGACTAATCTCTCAAATTTGCATAATTTTTTATAGGATCTGGAAATGGAAACAACACAGCAAAGAGTTTTAGCTTCAAAAAAGCAATATTCTTGAAGCCAGGAGATAATTACATATCAATCTTGGGTGCAACTGTTGGATTCCCTGTAATGATATCAAAACTTATACTTAACTATTTCATTAGTCAGTCTATTTTCTTAAGCAGCAGATTCATAAATGTGTTTCTTTCCAATCAATTTAGGATAGTGGGTCTTACTTGGAGCACAGGCTTGCTGGGGTCCGTGTGGTGCGGGTGCATGGCCTTAACAGTGGTACCCGTGATCTGTCATACAACGGATGGTGGCATAAGGTAAGACTAAAACATTGTTATCAATCGCGGATCACAAAAAAAAATAGTGGTTTATTTAAATTCCACTACGCAACAATGCTATAGTGCTAGTGTGGTTTATTTAAATTCCACTACACGACAATGCTATAGCGCTAGTGTAGCCGTTATTTGACAATATTTTGTACTAAATAGTGTATTACAAAACAATAGCGATTTGTTCAAATTTTGCTATGATGCAACATTAGAGTTGCTATTTAACAACACTGGTATGAGAGCATCACATATATAATGATTATGTATTTAACTTATGACTATGCGGCAGGTAGGTTTAGATGGTGAAAACCTCAACATTTTCACAGAGCAAGGCTCCCACATGTTTGAATGGACCACAGTTAACAAGGGACCAGCTCCTGCTCTAACATGGTACAAGGTACTTCTGTTTCTTAAAACATTTACACAACAAAAATGGCATGTGGGTTTTGAAAGTGAATGGATGTGTAAAGAACGAAATATCCAATACTTTCTTTCAATATTAACATATTTTCATCAATGACAGACTACCTTTGATGCTCCAGAAGGAAATAATCCTGTTGCCATTCAAATGGAAACTATGTCCAAAGGAATGGTTTGGGTGAATGGGAAAAGCATTGGCCGATTCTGGTCATCGTTCCTCTCTCCTTTCGGAAAGCCTTCTCAGCCAGTGTAAGTAGTATGCATGCATTGATCTCCTTTCGGAAAGCCTTCTCAGCCAGTGTAAGTAGTATGCATGCATTGATTGCATATTATATAGTGTGTAGTTAAAACCCAGTCCAAATCTTGGTTAGAACAATTCTTAGTCAGACTTTCCTTACTTCCTGCCGGAACTTTGAATTACCATCGTTCCATTTCCCCGTAAACAGGAGGGTTAAGATAAATAAGTAAAAAAACTATCTAAAACTTTGCTTCCATGTTTTGTTTTGACAGGTATCACATTCCAAGGGCATTCTTGCAGCCGAAGAAGAATCTTCTGATTGTATTGGAGGAAATGGGAGGGGAATTAGATGGTATAAAGATCCTAACTGTGAATAGAGATACAATTTGCAGCACAATAGGGGAACTTTATCCTCCAAATGTAGAGATATGGAGCAGAGAAAAGGGTGTGATAAGGAGCAATGTGGACACTCCAATACCAACAGCAAACTTGGTGTGTATGGACAACAAAACAATTACTCAAGTGAATTTTGCAAGTTATGGTGATCCAGTGGGAAGCTGTGGCCATTTCCTTCTTGGAAAATGCAATGCACCAGATAGCCAAAACATTGTGGAACAGGTTAGCACCAGTTTTGTTTCATTCTTTTGTTTTTCTACTCACACATAGGTATGCTATATTGTCTGCATATTCCTACATGGAATGTAACCTTATTCACATTGAACAGTACTGCTTGGGAGAGGCAAAGTGTTCAGTGCCTGTAGACAAGAATATTTTTGATAAGGATGGAAACACTTGTCCTGGAAGTCCAAAGACTCTATCCATTCAAGTGCACTGCAGTCATAAGAATGTGCGATCGCATTCATCAACTTGACAGAGTCAAATTAGAATATGAAGAAAGAAGCCTGTGAAAGTGATCAGACAGCATACCATGGCTACTGCTGTCATTTTGGACTGTATTTTTGGCACTTTGTAGATCTTTATTAATATGAGTAGGCTTTAATTTGATTTGATAATACCACATTTTGTATATTTAACACAACTTTTTTTGGTTCATCAGGAAATAGATAAGATTCAGAATCACAGGAATCATGTAGTTCTTCATGCCACCGAGTTCTCTAAACTGTTACTCGAGAACAAGAGAATGACTGAATCTATATCATATCTACTAATTTAGGTTAATGACTTAACCATTATTGATCATGCCTCAACTTCTAATAATACAACTTTGTAATACTCTCTTGCCTATATAAATGGGACCATGGGCGGCATCCCAAGTACACTAGAAAAATACAGGTGATGTTATCACAACAAACAAACATTCACTATAAATTACAAAGAATTCCGTAAAGCTGCAATAGAAACATTGAGCCGAAAGGTCAAGATTTACAGAACGCCTGAAGTGTGTCATCTAGAGCCTTTCTGTCATATTCCCCTGTGAAAACGCAACTTCCTAGAGAACCCTTTAGAAGGATAAGTCTCAGCAGTCCATCTGCTACCTTCTTATCAACCTGATATACCAATATAAATGAAGTTTTAGTCACAGAAAAAGCAAATTGAGCATTAGTAAGAGTATTGAAACTGAAGCATCATCCCTTACCGCCATTACAGATTTAAACATGTCCACAGTCATAATTTCAGGAGGCACAACAGGTAACTTAGCCTGTTTCAAAATGTCATTGACTCGTTTCACAATAGAATCATCAATCCATCCTAGGCGATATGACATGTCAACAGCCATTACCTGTGTAAATTGGCATACAGTTTCCCTCAGAATTCAAACAAATGTCATCAGTATAGTTCGTGGTTTTATAGTAAAATATAAATATTTATACCATGCCAGCAGCAATGCCCTCTCCATGAAGCCACTTCCCATAGCCAACGCTAGTTTCTATTGCCTAAAAAAGGTGCCATGAGAAAGAGCATTAAAATCAGAGAAGGAAATTTACTGATAAGGAAAATGCAGAAACAAATTTTTGTGATTATTTTGATGAACATAACTTGCATAGCAAACAAACACGTATTCTTGGATTTGTAATCATTATATTTTAAAACCTATAATATGTAAGTGGTCTGAGAAATTATGGGGTTGGAAAGTTTCATGAAGTCTTTAGAATAAGTCAAAGCAATATAACATGAAAGGAGGTTGCATGGATAATTAATCAAAACAGTAATAAATAACTAAAATATTATTCATAGCATTCTCTTTATTCAATCCTCTGTAAAAACTTAAATTCCACGTTTGGTTAAATTGACTTGTTGATTTCAATCGGCTAAAATAAGATTGTACACCAAGTACTAAAATTTTCTCAAACAATTCATATCTTCCCAATATACACATTCTTTTTCATTTTACTGATAATTTTATACTTCATAGTGAAGACGTACAAATTTATAACCTAAGTTATAAAGATTTCATATGTCAAGAAAGCCATGGATGGTCTTCACAGCAAAGATTTCAAGGTTTGGCATCCAAAAATAATACAATAAACAGTAAGAGATACTCACATGACCAAATGTATGACCCAAGTTCAATGTTGCTCTGATTCCACCTTCTCTCTCATCCAAGGACACAACTTCGGCCTTGTTTTCACATGATCGCTTTATAGCATATGCCAGGGCATCAGGATCTCTGCAGTCGATGATAATAATTCGTAAAAACCGGAAGAGTAGAAGAGCATTAAAAAGAAACTACACAACATTAGGATGAAAAATGACAGACGAACAGGAAATGTAACACTAACATGCAATGATGTCCAAATACTGCAAAAATGGTATTGTGTTTGCAACTTTGCATCCGATACTAAATAATACACCTATATTTATACTTTTAATGCATCTTACTTTTTTGGATATCCGTCACCCTCAAAGCAATGTTGTCAATCGCCAATAGCAAAATGCTAAAATTCTGCTACACAATAGTGCTATAGCGCCACTACAGCAGCTATTTGACAACATTTTGAACTATCACCCCTATTTTAATTTTGTTTTAAAAAACTTTACTAGTGGCATAAGTATCGAATTAGATAACTCATATTTGTACATGGAACATAGTTAAGAAGTAACGAGAAGTCAAAAAGTTCAATCTAGAGATGCGTTTTTCCAAGCCAGAGGTACATTTCCTAGCAGACCCTCTTTTACAAACTATGCTACGTTACACCAGTTAGAAGAAGTTAGTAGCAAGAACGAAAGCTTATTACACTACTTAAATTAAGGTTTTACCTAGCCATCAAAGCCTGCATATTTTTCTCTTGCCACTCAAAAAACTCCGCATCCCTAATGAGCCCATACTTTATAACCTCTGCAAACCCTGATGCTAGTTCCCTCTCTGGTAACGTATTTAACGTGTCCGTGTCTATAAGCACACATTGAGGTTGGTAAAAAGCCCCAATCAGGTTCTTCCCAAGGGGGTGATTTATCCCAGTTTTGCCACCAACCGAAGAATCAACCTAAGAACATAGTACACAATCCAATGAATATGGAAAAGGGATAATGCAGGTAGCATAAATTAGAACCATCAACATAACACAACATAAAGAGAGCAGCAAAAGACCTGTGCCATAACAGTAGTTGGAATCTGAATAAAATTAACACCACGCAAAAACGCAGCGGCAGCAAAGCCACACATGTCGCCAATCACACCACCTCCAAGAGCAACAAAAGTACACCGCCGGTCCAATCGAGACTCAATGGCCTTGTCAAACACTTTCATAAGAGTGTCCTATTAAATCAAACAAGCAATGAATTTTCATTTTTCACACCAATACCAAAAGTGACAAGAAACACAAAAAATCAATTAAAACAATAAAAAAAACACCCACCATGTCCTTGTACTGCTCACCATCAGGTAAAATTACAGTCTCAACAGAAACATTTGGGTTTCCATTTGTTAAAGCCTCAACAACCTTGTCTAGATACAAAGGTGCAACTGTAGTATTAGTGACAATAAGGACCTTCTTTCCATGGACATGCCTATTATGATAAAACAGCAAAATTAAGTTTTTGGTTCAACTGTCAATACTAAACACCAACACCAATTAGGTTAAAACTGAAAAAATTAAAAATTGGTAACAGGCATTAAAATTGGTATTACCTCTGGAGAAGTTGGGGTTTATTGAGCAAACCGGATCCGATATAAATGGGGTAGCTCCGATCACCCAGATCAACGTTAACAGTGGTGGGAATTCCGGGTTGGGTTATTGCTGAAAAGGGGTCCATGAGTTGAGATGAACTAGCGGATACTGGTGACCTGAGAGAAGTAGAAAGAGAGGTTTTTTTTGGAAAATGGTTGGTGGGGCGGGAGAAAAAAGAGTGGGGGTGAAGAAAGTTAGGATTTTGAAGAGAGGAGAGGTGAATAGGTTGTTTGAGGGATGGGGATAGAGATAGATTGGTGGATGTGGAAGCCATTGGAGTTGGAATTGGAAGGAAATGGGAGGGTGAATTTTGATGGTTGGTGAGGTGAGTGTAGAAAGGAATTGCAATAACTTGTAGGTGATCAATAATATGATGACTAGGATGTGGAGTTAGGTGAAGATTTTGTTTCTAAATACTAAAAAAAAAATTTGTAAATTACATTTTATTATAAATTTTGTTACATATATGTTATTCATATAAGCAAACATCTTCAACTTAGAACGCGAAATAACGTGTCAATCAACAAATATAAAACTTAGAACGTATATACTAACTTTAAAGAGATTGATATTAAATTTTATTGATAATCATCGCAAATAAAACAATAATTAAAAAAGTGTTCACATTTAAATGTAAACAAAGTTATTTGGTTAGATGTAGTCCAAACACATAATTTTTCATCAATTATGAGTCGAATATTATTAAATAAATTTGACTGTTGATTCAATGTTTTTCAACAACATTCCGAATTAAAACTCAATGTTTGGTAATTCCGGAAAATTAATAGTGTTAAAAATTTTAAAAATGTAAATATCATAAAATTATTATTATTATTATTATTATTTTACATAGTGAACATCAACTATTGAATTTTTTTAAAATAATTATTTTTTTTAAAATAATTTTTTAAATAATCACTTTTTTTAAAAAATTTATCAAAATGACCGCTTTTCAAATAAAAAAAATCTCGTCATACAGATGAGTAGTCACTCTGTGTGGCGTATACATACATGTTTAAGAGAAGGTGTCATACTGTATGACTTGTCCTCCTCTGTAAAGTCATAGTGTGGCGCATGCATGTGTTTTTAGAGAGGAAGCGTCACTCTCTTTGGCTCGACAGTGTTATTGTATTTTCTATAAATGCAACCACCCATCCTCTTTATTTTTCCACACCATTTCTTACATAACTCTTAGAAAATGTCTTCAACTCCCTTGTCAAAGTTTTCACTGATCAAAAGAGATGCGCATGTTATTTTTTCAGCGACAAAGTCTCCGGTGAAGATCAAACTCTGGAACACGCAGACATTCGAGCATTTTCAGAGGCACTTGATTCGCTGGTTGGAAGGAGACATTCCTAAAGGTGAACAAATCAGAAAAATAGAAAGGCACATCACAGTGAGGAACGAAAATGGAATAAGTCGATCATGGAAAAAGGTGAGATGTGACACTTGTAACGTCCGTAATTTAATTAATTATTTAATTAAATTGTTTTTGAAATATTTGTGAAGTTGTGTTGTGATTAGTTGGAATCATTTATTTTATTAAGTGGTGAAATAATATTATGAGAAGGATGATATTATTTTTGTTGTGGGCTTGTTTTAAAGGAATAGAAGCAATAAGGAGGTGTATTAGTTTTAAGCCCATTAAGGAATAATGAGAATAATAGGTTATTTTATTATTGTTAGAAATAACAAGAAAGAAGAAGCAGTAAGAAGAATAAGGGTTTGAAAGGAAGAATGT